TCTCCTTCCCTCCTCTGGCAGGTCTCCTTGTCAAGTGACATGGACGAGGGAGTGCAATTCCTTGCGTATATAATGGACGCACAGAACATTGCTTATTTCTTTGTACAGCGCTCTTCACCAGTGTTGAGAAGGGTCTGGATATGGCTTGCCTGCCCATAATCTCCATGCTTGTTTTCCAAATGGGGATTTAAAAAACAGTGATGGAACCTGGCCAGTGTGGTTCAATGGTTGCGCATTGACCTATGTACCAGGTGGTCGAGATCAGAGTACATGCGCAGGTTGCAGGCTCCATGCCCAGTAGGGGGCGTGCAGGAGGCAGCCCATCCATGATTCTCTCTCATCATTGATGTTTCTATCTCTCTACCTCTCCCTTCCTCTCTGAAATCCATAAAAAAATTTTTTTTTTTTTTTTAGAAAATCGGTGATGTAAAAGCAATAGTCCTGGGTGTCTCCTTCCAGTTTGGGTGTAAATCTACATATTTGAAGAAAGCGAATTGCTGGTTTAAGCAGGAGAAAAAGTAAAAACAATTTAAACTTTTTTTAAACCTTTAGAAATATTCAACACAAAATCCTTTTTAAAGTTGAATTACCATGCGATTGGTAATTTGGCCATAATTTGGGTAAATAACTTGAAAAGGGGGTAGGAAATCCATCACTCCTCAAGAGCCATTAAACTCTGATGCTCCCTTAAGATCAGCTTGACTTCTCTCTATAAATTACCTGGGAGGGAGTATCCGCAAATAAGAAAAATAATTCATTGAACTACAATATTTTAAAGTTACTCTCCTGAATAACTCAGGTCCCAAAGTAAAACTCTCATGCAGACAAATGGTGTGCATGCCCTCTTCCTTTTTAGTGCCCTTGGTTTATCAATCTACGTTGTTTTTTATTGTGGTTGATCTGTTTCAAAGTATCACACATTATGACACTTAGAGCCAAAATACTCTAAAAAAATAAATAAGGACATTCTTCTATCTAAATAAAATGGTATTATTACTCCAATAAAATAAAAATAGCTCCTTAATTTCATCTCATACCCTTTCTATAGTTAAATTTAGCCAGGTCCTCAAAATGTTCTATGAGCAGAATGGGGTGGCTATTTCAAAGGAATGAAGTATTATGACCCTTCATTGCTTGTTACCTGTCCTAAACATGAGGGAACATGGAGACATCCAATCAAAACTCTGTTACCAGTAGAATGTGAAATGGCACAAAAAGCATATTCCTTAATATACTTACCATATGGAACAGTAATCTCACTCCTAGCTATCTATCCCAAAGAAATGAAATCTTAAATTTACAAAAGACTTCTACGAGAATATTCATAACAGCTTTATTCATAACAGCCACAAACTGGAAACAGGCCAGATGTTCAATAGGAAAATAGATATATGAACTGTTTTATATTCATACTAGAGGCCCAGCGCACGAAATTCGTGCACGGGTATGGTCCCTAGGCCTGGCCTGAGATCAGGGCCATCTTCCCTGGCTTCCCATAGCCGGCCCTGCCCCCTGCTGCCACCCACCCCCAGTTCCCCGTTCACCATTGGGTGATCGGTGCCTGATGGCCAGGGGAAGGGACTGAGAGGTTGGCTGTTCCCGCCCACTTGCAGGCCCCGCCCCTGCCGCGGGTCACCCTCTGTGTGTGGGGCGACTGGCGAGGCAGGGGCCTTGGCCTGGCACTGCCCGCGTCCCCCGCCACCCACCCCCAGTTCCCCATTAAACAGCAGGCGATCGGAGCCTGCCAGCCGGGAAAAGGGACAGAGAGGTGATAAATGCACCTCATAGTGACTGATCCAGTGGTCGTTCTGGTCATTCTACCATTAGGGTCAATTTGCATATTACCCTTTTATTATATAGGATAATAAGATACTACTCAGCAATAAAAATATTACTGAAATTTTCTTAGCTTCAACTTTAAAAATCTAGAGTATTTTAAAACAACTTTAAAATAATACATATCTATATATATAAAACGCCATGACGTGCACTGACCACCAGGGGGCATGCATGGAACATGGCGGACGTCGGCCGTGGCAGGATGGTAGAGCAGGTGAGCGGGGTGGGGGCACCAGACCAAGGCGGGGCACCGGTCGCTGTCATCAGGGCAAGCCTCTGGTGGTTACTGAAAAGTCTTTGCTTCTGCACACCATGGTCCTGCCCAGTGCTCACACCTCGTGATGGCATGGAGTGATTGGGGCCAGCACCATCAGCGGGTGGGAGCGGGGCTGCCAGCAGACAAGGGACTGGGGGCTGCGGCTGGAGGGGCCGGGCTGAGACCTGCCCCTGTGCCCACCGCAGCCTCACAGCCCACAGTTCTTTTCAAGGTGCACAATTTCGTGCACTGGGCCCCTGGTTTTCTATATTAAAATACATAATAACTTTTTACATTGAAATAACTAGGGTAAAATGTTTAGTATCTTCCTATTTAAATTACATCCATCTATCACAACATATTCCAATGTGCATTAAATATCATTTGAAGATAAACTAGGGGAAGAGCACAGAGAATATGAGCAAAACACAGAATTGTTCGTGTGTTGTTGTTTTTTCATATTAAACCACTATACTTGAAACATACATTGGAGTTTCACATAGTATTTCATCCCCTAGAATGAGTTATTGTCCAGAAAATTTCTCAGTGCCTTAAAGAAACAGACATAAATCTAATCTCTCCTGTCTTTAGATATGTCTCAGTTCTAAGAGCTATCAATGTTTTTGTTCTTAAGCTGAAATTGAAATTATACATTAAATTAAGAAGTTATTTCCTTTGTTAATTCATTCGATAACTATTTACTATGTGCCAGCTAGCAGGCTAGGGGCTGGAGACCAGACAATCTCTGAATATATAGAAAAGGCTCTTACTTTAGAATGGGTAGTGAGGGCAGGTCTCTTTGTAGAATGGCATTTCAGTTGAGAAATAAAGAATGAGAAGAAGCCACTCGTGACAAGAGCTGGGAGAACAACATCCCTGACAGGGAGAGGAGAAAGAAAGAAAGAAAGAAAGAAAGAAAGAAAGAAAGAAAGAAAGAAAGAAAGAAAGAAAGAAAGACAGAAAGACAGAAAGAAAGAAAGAAAGAAAGAAAGAAAGAAAGAAAGAAAGAAAGAAAGGAAAGAAAGAAAGGAAAGA